TTCACATGATTAATTTATCTTCTTTCAACACTTTCTGTTGATTCAGGAGATTGGTCCAAATAGGCAAATCCTCCTTATGACTGAAAATAGAATGTTTGCATTGCTTTATACATTTTTAAAAATTGTGGTAAAATGTACATAGCATAAAGTTTACTATTTCGACCATCTTAAGTATACAATTCAGTGGCATTAATTGCATTCACATTACTGTGCAGTTCTCATCACCATGCATCTCCAGAACTGTTTTCATCTTGCAAAACTGAAACTATGAACCTGTTATTTTTTAAAAGATTTATTTATTCATTTGAGAGAGAGAGAGCAAGGGGAGGGACATAGAGAGAGGGAGAGAATCTAAAGCAGATTCCCTGCTGAGCGAGGAGCCTGACATGGAGCTGGATCCCAGGACCCTGAGATTATGACCTGAACCGAAATCAAGGGTAAGACGCTGAACTAACTGAACCACCCAGGTGCTCCAAAACTATGAACCTATTAAACAATAACTCCCCTCTTCTCTTTTCTACCAGCCCCTGGCAACCCATTTCTATTTCTATGAATTTAGTTACTCTAGGTACCTCATGTAAGTGGAATCATACAGTATTTATCCTTTTGTGACAAGCTTACTTCATTTAGCATAAGATCTTTAAGGTTCATCCATGTTGTAGCATGTGTCAGACTTTCATTCTTTTTTAAGCCTGGATAATATGCCATTGTATGTATGCACTGCATTTTGTTTATCCTACATCTGTCAATGGACACATGGGTTGCTTCTACTTTTGGGCTATTGTGCATGATGCTCCTATAAACACGAGTGTACAAATAGCCACATGAGTCTTTGCTTTCAGTTCTTTAGGGTGTATGCCCAGCAGTGGAATTGCTGGGTCATGTGGTAATTCTCTTTTTAGTTTTTTGAGGAACCTCCATACTGTTTCTCATAGTTTCTGTGCTATTTTACATTCCCACCACAAGTGCAACAAGGATTCCAATTTCTCTTCATCCTTGACAACACTTATTTTTTGTTTTTGATGGTAGCTGTCCTAGTGGGTATGGAGTGGTATCTCACTGTGGTTTTGATTTGCATTTTCCCAATGATTAGTGATGTTGAGCAGCTTTTAATGTGATTGTTGGACATTAGTATATCTTTTGGGGAGAAATGTCTATTCAAGTTCTTTGCTCATTTTGAAATTGGATTATTGGTTTTTGAGTTATTGAGTTATAGGAATTCCTTATATATTCCGGATCTTCATCTGTTATTGGATATATGATTTGAAGATATTTTCTCCCATCCCATGGGTTGCCTTTTCACTCTGCTGATGTTGTGTACTTTGCACTCTGCTGATGTTGTGTACTTTGATGCACAAATTTTTAAAAGTTTTGTCATAGTCTAATGTATCCATTTTTCCTATTGTTGCCAAAGCAGTTTTTTCTAAGACAAAGGAATTAAAAGGAAAAAGTTTCATTTACATAAAGTTTATTAGACTCTTTTGTATTCTGAAAAGTTCATCTAAATATATATACCTTAAACACAGCTGTATTTTAGTAGAGGCAAATTTTAACGGAGGCATTTAGTATGACCCCAAATGGGTCCTTGATTTATCCATAGTTTTCCTTTTTGACAATGTTTACCATAATGAAAAAAGAAACACTTAAAATTCCTTTGGCATTACACCTTTAGATTGTGGGCACTCTGAAAGGGCAGACAGACATTCATGAATTTCAAAAAGCCAACGATCTTCTAGCAATTTGATTGGAAGAGTTTAATTTACTGTCAGTACCTCCATGTTTTTCACTGGAGTAGAAAATTGAATTGACAAGTTTTATTTTTGATACTTTATTTTTGGGTGAGGCCAGGGACTCCCAATTCTGGTTCCTTCATTAAGGCTTGTAATACATACTGCGGTGTTTTCAGGAATAGAAAAAACATAAGAAAACATTTGGTGTTGTGATTGCATCAGTCAGGAGAAGCTACTGTTTTCTGCTGGCAAATGAATACAACTCTAAATATCATGCCCTTTCTTTTTATTTATTAAAAAACTGCCCCCCCCCCAAAATTGTCTTCAGAAAGCACTGATATGAACAGACTATTTTGTATAGTAAGAAATTATACAGAAAATTATGTTTTTGCCTGGAGTATACTTAAACAGTTTTGTGAAATGCAATGTTACTTATTCTTTTTGTTAAGTGTGTCCTTTGCCCAAAATTTAAGCCATGATGTTTATTGAAATGTTTTTAGTATTCCCAGAACACACCTTGTTCTTGAGACAAAGCTATAACATTCAAGTAATATACTTTCTTTTTTTTTTAAGATTTTATTTATTTGACAGAGAGAGACACAGCGAGAGAGGGAACACAAGCAGGGGGAGTGGGAGAGGGAGAAGCAGGCTTCCCGCCGAGCAGGGAGCCTGATGCAGGGCTTGAATCCAGGACCCCGGGATCCTGACCTGAGCCGAAGGTAGACGCTTAACGACTGAGCCCCCCAGGCGCCCCATCCTTTCTATTGTTAAGAGCTGAGATATCACAAAGCCAGTGAAGAATGGCAGGTGTAGAGGCATGTCACATGGAACAGTCAGCAGATAAAATGTTGAGTGGACTTTGTTTTTTTCCTACATTAAAATTTGTGGATCAGAGGAGTTAGGTTGGTTAGGAATAGCGGGCCAGTGTTGCTTTTAACTTTTCCTTGCATTTCTGTGTGTATTCTGCTGTCTCACATTTACTAGACATTTGCACACCTGATACATTGGAAGTAGAAGCTGACTTTTTATTCTTCCCTTCAAGAAATAGATTTTGAACTCAAAGAAGTAGGTTCCAGGAGAAAATTAGCCTACTGACTTATGATCTGAGCTAGGAATATTTGACTGAGCTCAGGGCAGGAGTAAGCAATTCACCAATTATATTGTACTATAATTTCATTTCTGAAGTTCATTTTTTTTGTTTTAGTAAAGTCTCTGTCTTGAAGGTGACCTTCAGTAAATGAGCATTCCCTAAAACTTTGTAGGAATATTTATTTGAATTCTGCAAATCTCTTATTTCAGTTTCACACCCATAATTTGTGTGGCCTTGCTAAGTGTTGAAATAGGTATTTAGGTGTGAAGAAAACCAACCTCATTTTATTCTAACCATTAATTTCATCTGATAATATCACTCTAAAGCAGATATTTGCTGTATTAAGACCAAAGGAGAGGAGAGAGTAATCTCTAGATGAAGAAGAATACTATTTTTCTTTCCATTTTTCACCCTTGGAGAAAAAAAAAAAAACACTGTCACCTCTACTACATGAATATAGAAAATGTTATAGTTGAAGGAATTATAGTTGCTTAAATCTAGATATAAGTGTTTATTTTCTTTTTTTAAAATTTTTTATTGTTATGTTAATCACCATATATTACATCATTTGTTTTGGTGTAGTGTTCCATGATTCATTGTGCATAACACCCAGTGCTCCATGCAGAACGTGCCCTCCTTAATACCCATCACCAGGCTAACCCATCCCCCCACCCCCCTCCCCTCTAGAACCCTCAGTTTGTTTTTCAGAGTCCATCATCTCTCCTGGTTCGTCTCCCCCTCTGACTTACTCCCCTTCATTCTTCCTCTCCTGCTATCTTCTTCTTTTTCTTTTTTCTTAAAATATGTTGCGTTATTTGTTTCAGAAGTACAGATCTGTGATTCAACAGTCTTGCACACTTCACAGCGCTCACCGTAGCACATAGATATAAGTGTTTTTGTATTAAGTTAGTTTCCATATTGAGAAGTGTTAAAGGAACATCAAACACTGAAGACATAGTAACACTAAATTTGGGGGGAATACATTATTTAAAGAGGGCCACGGAAAGATAGAAGGTTTTTTGGAAAAAAAATACCATTTAAGTTGAAGCTGTACAGCATCTAGTATTAACATTTCAGAGTTTAGGAAAATGGAAAGTTGTAATTTGTTGAATTATTAAATATATTGTTTGATATTATTTTTTAAATCCAGCCTAAGAAAGCATATACCTAACACTTCTGTGCTCCATGCCTGGCTTCAGACACACACATGAATCATTTATTCTTTATTACAACCTCAGGACGGAGGAGCTGCTTTTATCCCCATTTTACAGATGAAGCTTAAACACAGGGAGCTTCAGTAACAACATTCAAGGTTTCTGTGGATCAGGCCATGGGTATCTGCTATTCAGCCTACCATGCATAGCATTTTCAAATCCTCTCTTTCTTGCCCTTACAAATACAAACACAGATGGCTTTACCTCAGAGTGGCACAAAGAAAGCCCCTTCGCTGAAAATTGTCCCAGAATATTTCAAGATACCCCTTTTAAGGAAACCCTTTGAAATCATGTATAAGATGTCCTGGACATGGTCTGTTATGTATTCCAAAAGTTAGCGTATCTACTCTCCACAACTCCCCATGTTCGGATCTTTAGATGATATTCTGTTTTCCCAAGAGGCTATTTGATATCACCATCACAAGACATATGAGGGACAGAAAAACCAGGAAAGATGGTAGGGTGATCTATATGTTACCATCCAAACAAGGATACCTTTAAGAGTGAAGGAGGAAGTATTAGCAATTACAGTGGGATAACAAACTTAAACTTGGACAGGCTCCAATCATTGTGAGTCTCTCCATTGGTGCCAAAAGGAATGTATTTAGGAAAACTACTCTGCTCTGTCACTTTGGTTCTTTAGCATATTTAGCACAGATTCTAAACATGGCAACAGGCACCTCACACTGTTTCTGATTACTTCTGATTGAAAACAAAGTTGCTTTAATTAGATACATTCATTATAAAGTCTGTTATCCAATCCCCTCATGTAGTAATGGATAATTTAAATAGAAAGAATCATATTTTACTTAAAAAAAACTAAAATGGTCATGTGCATGAGGTTTCGTTATCCACTGTTCACAGATCAGTTCTTACCTTCTGAAAGTTGACCTGTAAAACTAGCTTTATTCATTTTTTTTCTTTTATAATACTCATTCTGAGTCTATATGGATAGAGTGGCTTTGAGACAGTGATTCACAGAAGGTTTCAGTGGTGCTACATAAGAGAGCAGAAGAAATGTGAGCAACCCATGGTATGTATTTGTATTTGAGGTAGTAGGATGGAAATACCACTATAGATTAATGCTCAGAACTTTATTTCATTTGAGAAGACTTGGTTTCCTTCTCTGTCAAAAGAAAAAAAAGAAAAAAATGAGGAAATTTTCCTCTTTCTGTCAGAGTATTTTTATTTGGATCTAAATACACACTATTAGTAATGTGTAAGAACATCTCTAGGCACAAAAGTGCTATAGAAATACCACTTATTTTATTATATTTTATGGGATATTTAATCCTTTGGATAAGAACTGATGGGAATAGATTTATTTATAATCTAAAATGCCAACAAAGAGTGGAAATTCACGTAAAGAACTCCAGAGCAAGTAGATAATGTTTCAATCAAAATTGATTCAGTACTGCCAAAGGTATGGATTTACCCTGTATAAAACTTACACACACACACACACACATATCAATGCATGTAACTGTTTATGAAAATCATTTTTGTAATTGAAAAGGTGAAAACAATCAAATGGTCATCTTCAGGAATTAGGTAAATTGTTGTGATACAGTCATGTAATCTAATACTAGTATCCTGTCGAGAAAATGAAGGAGAAAGAGTGAGAGCAATGACCACAATAAATTAGGCAAAAATAGCTAAAAACAAGCATGATCTCATTTATGCTAATGATAGCTAGATGGACGATAGATAGATAGGCAGAATCGCACGCACAGATGTATAGCAACTTATAAGAACACACATCTGTTAATAGCTAACTCTGGAGAAGTATTTCACTTTTACTATTTTAACCTGGTTACTTGAGTTTTGCAATGTAAAAGTTGACCTTTGCAATAAAAATAACAATTCAATAACCAATTAAAAATAAAATTTCAGTCTCAAATACATAAACTATATTGTATTTAACCGTAAGCAAACACGTTAGGGTTAGCCAGAAGATTGACTTTCAAACTCTAGAGCCCGGTTCTTTAGGACTAATTAAGTGGACTCAGTGGTCTCTCTTGCTCTTCTCCTGCCAAGTTTCCACTTGGCTCTGACCTCTCAAACATCCAAAATACTTCTAAGTTCTAGAACACATCCTACAACTGCGTGCCTTTTTGTTTTTGCTACTGTGGTCTGCTATCTCAGGAATTATTTTCCCTTGTCTTTATCTGGATAGCTACTAATAGTCATTCAAGACTGTGCGTCAGTATTAACCTTTCAAGGAAGAACTTATCACGTCTGTCCCAGAATCCTGACTTGGACACCTCGGTTCATGGCCCGGTGGTACCTGACATGCATCTATATCCCATCACTTACCTCTGGACTGTCATGACGTATGTCATGGCTTTTACTGCACCTCCATTACTGAAAGAAGGAATTCTGCATCCCACTACCAATCTCAATAAATCTTTTTTAAACAATTGAATGAAAATCTATGAATATCTTGACTTTTCATTTGGTTCCTTTGCCAGTAACAAGGAAGCATGAGATAATCTTGATTTTCAAAATAAATTATTCTATCTACACTTTTGAAAGATCTTGTCAATGAAAAAATGTAGCTGAGGAATGCTGGAAAGATCACAGAGGAACATAGAGTAAGGGATCTGAGTATATATCTTGTTAATTTAAATTAGCTTCTGTGAAATAGAAAGAACAAACTTTACCTTTCAGGATTCTTTTGTGGATGAAATAAAGCACTGAATATAGAAGCTCTATGTAAATTATTATGAAATAAGATTACTGAATTTAATAATGCTAATATAAGTTTAGAAGAACTTAGTTATTCCTTTAAGCAATTTGGACAAAGGGTAAAAATACGTTACACTTATTTTTTTAATGTAGACTTGTCCCTTTTGGCCTGAATCCCACAGTTGACAATTCTTTTTCCATTTCTAAAATTTAATACTTTGAATTGACATTATTATAGTACCAGATATTGAAACAGAATTATACAGGAAATTGGCAATAACTGTTAGAGAAATGAAGGCTAATTACTACACTCTGTACTTTCAGCACAATGTTGAAACTCTGACAACTCAGATGGGGAGGCTTGCTCATCACCATGGCAACGATTTTCAAGTTTGTTTTGCTTTTCTGAAAATGTAACCAGTCAAGCACAGTTAATTTAACTTGAGCAGAGTGAAAAATTGATTTTTTTTTTAGTGATGCAATTAGGCTTAAAAAAATCAAGTTAAATAATGATAAGCACAGTTTAATTTGTTTACAAATCTTTAGGAACTGTATTTTGAGTTATAGCAAACAAAGAGTTGACTATAGAATAAGGAAGATGATTTTGCTGGTGGAATATCCTAGTACTTTTTTGTTGTACCGTTCATTTGAAATCAAAGATGGTTGGTATAAATTAGTAACTTGCTTATATCATGACCTCAGTAAATGCTTGCTGACTATTCCAAAATTACTGCCACACTTAACATGATCCATTCGTCTAACTTAAAATAATACTTTTTTTTTCTTAAAGAAACCTGTATATAGTCCAAACAAAAATTAGGGGTATATGATGGTATCTTGGAAATTGGGAATGTTCAAATTCTATTGTTAACATAATCAGGAGTTATAAACAAATAACAAAGGAGGAACATGGGATGATGATATTGGAGCTCAAAAATCATTTTCCCTGGAAGTTGTATGTGTGTCCTGAAACTTCAATCGTAAATTATGTGAGAACAAGTAAAATATTGACCATATGTCTAATAACATGATTATTTACCTTATCTGTGTTCACCAAGGTTCCCTTGATTTTTTCAAGTTATGTATTCTTATTTAATTTTTTTTTTTTTTTTTTACACTAGCCCTTCTGCCTTCTGACCTTTTCCCGGTTCCTTCTGCCTGGAATTTTTCCCTCACCTTTTCACATGATTGGCTCATTTTCTCGCTTGATATTTTGGTTCAAATGTCTTCTCCCTCAGAGGCCTTTTCTGATTACACTGTCTGAAATGCCTCTGCCTCCCCTTCCCAGGTCCTCTGGCTTTCATTAACTTGTTAAATCTTTTCATCACACTTACCATAATCTGTCAGCATATAAATCCATTAGGGCAGGCACCAGGAATTAATGAAGAGTTACAGAATGAATAAATGAATGAATGAATAAATTTATGGATATGATGACTTAAAAGTGTAATTTGTGAATGCATGTATCTTCCCATCCTCTGAAAGAAGCAAACCAGGCATTGGTGATACTTATTAGTGCTTTCAAGTGGTTTCAGACAGTTATGGAGGTATGTGGAATAAAAAAAGTATTTTTACCTTTTGTGTCCCGGTTATAAGTGTGCTAGTGAGACCCAGGAAATTACAGCATACAATAGAAACAAGCGTAACACTTCCCCGTAGTTTAGGTTTGAGAGTTCAAGGAAACAGACATCTGTGAGAGCTGGTCCAGTCATTGAGGGCTTCGGGGAGAATGGGGGTCATCCTCAACATGCGTGGATGAGTGGGTTTTGTCTTCCTCTATACAAACACTCAGAAATTTGGTGAGGATTAGGAATCTCACTCTATTTTAAGATATTCTTATTTTAATAGGCCAAATTCTTTCATGTAATTAAAAAAAAATCTGAGAGCAGACTCAAGATACATAATCCTTTGCTCCTGTGTATCTTGCTAAAGGCATTTGAATCCTCCACGATCATATTCCAGTGATGATGCTTTACTCGTCCTGCTTTCGGGAAGGACCTGCAGCATGCACATGATGCACTTTGATGCACTGTTGGCCAGGCCAGGGGTTAATGATGGAAGCTATGGTTACTACATGGTCCCCACATTCTCGAAGGAGTGCTCAGCACTTTGCATCTGATTATCAAAACATTCTAGATTTCAGTTTCTTTTAACATTCTAGTCTGTATTCAGCCTTTGATGACTCATTTCATCAAGAGATCACAGAGTAACACATACATTAATTACTGTTTTAAGTCATGGAAAGTTCAGTGGTGATTTTTAACCAGTCAGGCATACGCTTTCTTTTACTAATATCGAAAGGAATTTCTGTTTTAATAAATGTCAACAGCAAAAATATCCTACCAGAATTATTAAGTGCCAGATACCTATATTTAGATCCAATTCTTCTGTTTAAAAATATGTAAAATTTGTAAATTTTAGATATTCAGACTAAGTTGGAGTGGCCTCCAACTGAACAAAATTAGTCACTCTTCAAAATCAATTGATTATTCACTGAGAGCTATAATATAATATTCTGAAAAGGCAGAGAAGCAAATTAGACAATCTGGTTGATGATCAAATAAGATACTTCATTTACTGAAAAATCTATTCCCTCATATAACTCTATGGATTTTATGTTTGACGTGCTTCAGTATTTATCATATCCTTTTGCTATGCATTGGTAGACAGCAGTGTTGTTTCTCTCATTCAGGGCCCTCAAACAATAATGAACTCATTTGAAATGGATGGCTAGCATGCAAAATTGGACTGTCATGATAAAAAATGTAAATTCGAGGTTTTTCACATCTCAGTGTAGTGAAATTTCTTCTGTAATGCAGCATAATCAAAAGATTATGAACTTGGGGGTCAGACCAGAGATCAAATCCTGACTGTCACGTACTTCTTGCATAACCATCATTAAGGAAGTCACTTCTCTGAGCTGCACTTTCATTGTTTATACAATAAAACAAAGTTAGAAAGGAATACTACCTATTTCAGGTTGCACAGAGATTGAGTGCTTGGCGTAAATGAGGCACTCAGGAATGTAGGCACTGAAGGCACTAGAACTTCCTGCCTTCAGACTCGGCACCATTATGTCATCTACCCCAAATGATGCAAGACAAATAATTTTGGACAGGGAAGAGTGAATTTTTGTCTATGTTGTTACTAACTCAGTCTTTAATCTCAGACAAGTATATTCTGGATTTCAGTGGCCTACTGTGTCAATAACAACTGGGTCTCCCATGCCTCTCAGCTTCACATTCACCTCTCATTTTCTTGCTTCATCACATAGAAGGTGCTGGAAGGACACCAGAGGAGGAAGGGGGAGCTTAGTCCTGGTTCTAGGGTGTACTTACGGTTAGCAGTCTCCTTGAGGGCAGAGCACAGGGAACCATCCAGTGGATGGTACCCTGGACCCCAGAGGGCGGGTTTCCAGGGAAATTCACCAGTGCAGTAATCCCCCCAGCCCCCCACCCCGCAAATCTCCCCATCATCCACTGGCGACACGCACCCTTTCCAGTGATGTCCAGATTCTAGCCCTGGGAGTGTGTAAAGGGCTCTTCCATATTGGTTCTTTATTCAGGAATTGTGTCTCAGCCCCAGAATTGGGGTTCTTCCCTGTATCAGCCGTTTTTCTGCTCTTTACAGTTCTGAGTTTTATGTTTTCTGCCTAGTAGGTAATCCACTCTATTGTTAACATTTGTTTAAGTTAAATTTTGCATGTTCAAATTCTCTCTCCTGGTTAGCACACTTAGCAAATTGTTAGGAGGTTTTTAAAGACAATTTTTATCTTTGGCAGTCAATGAGAATTCATGGGATATACTCGTGTTTGTTTTTGCAGAAGCGAGCCTCATGGATGCATCCTCAGAAAGCCGGTAGCTGGTATGGGCACAGGTTTTTTGTTTTTTTTTTTTTTTTTTTGGTATTGAAGGGAGTCATTTGAAGCTGAAGAACCAAGAGAAAAGGGATGGGAATGAGGTCAAAAGCAGAGATTGGTGGGTTTAAATCAAAGGCAATTCTGCCTGAGATTTGGGCAATTTTTGGAATAGTGATAGTTGAAATTATCCCCTGGGGAATATTTGAATAGCACACGTCTCCAAATCTTAACCCGGTCGGACTAAAACAACATGTCTGGGGTTGGGAACTGGCCTATGTATTTTGGAAAACTCTTTAGGTAATTCTGATATATTGCTTCCTCCCCATCACCAGATGTTAGTTAATTTGTAAGAAACTGTTCACTGAGCATCTATTATGCTTAAGAAGCAGTGCCAGCACCGTAGGCTGAGCCAGACTTTCCCAAGGGCCGTACGCTCAAGGAGTTTGTTTTCTGTTGGGAAAGAAAGAAAAGTGTACTTTTAACTAATACAAAAATCCTCCCACTGTGTGCCAGGCATGGTGCTAAGCATTTTACTCATGTATCTCCTTTAGTCTTGAAAACCCAGTGAGGTAGGTAAAATTCTTAAAACATTTTATAGATAAGGAAACTAAAGCTCAGAATTTGCGTATGTTTTCTCACTAGAGATACTCAGAAAGCATTATCAGGATTCAAAGGAGGAAGAGAGAAAATCTTTATAGGAAGGGGACCCTGAAGCTGATACACAGATATTTCTGAGTTCTCAAATGTTTTTTTCTAAGAAACAGAAACCTGACTGGAGGATTCTAGTTCTTTTTCCTTTTCTTGTTTTTTTTTTTTTTTTTATTTAACTCATGACATGTTTTATTTAATTATTGTTCTGGTATTCTTCTTGATTTTTTTCATCTCAAATGTAGTTCTAGATCAAAGATTGAAAACCCAAATAATTAATGGCTGAGGAGGCTGGGTATAAACCCAAGAGTGAGTGGGAGGTGGAGACGGGAGAGGGTTACATGTGGAACATGTAGGCTCACAGTATAGCGATGCCCAACTACAGATGGATTTACATATTGATTGTAGGGGGCATACAAACACTGTCTGTGGGCAGGTCCCAGGTTCCCAGGCCTGACTGATCACAAAGGGAGGGCTTACAGATCTTCATTTAAGGTAGACACTTACCAACATCAAAGTCAATTTTTGGTCTCATTTTAAAATTTTGGCTATTTGTGGGTTTCTATTGCAAGACTTCTGTCGTAGACTCTGCAGCAGGGTCCAGGGAGTGAGATGTGGTCTTTGGGGTGTGGTGGAAACAGAATTGCATAAAGATTCATGGGAACTGTGATGATCCTCTTTGCTGGGGATTTTCTAGTCCTTGTTCATTCATACAAGCACTCAGTGGTAGAGAAGATACTGATAAGTAGGTCTATCTGACTTCAAGCCCATATTGTATTCACTAGATAAACATGAGACCATTTATGGACATTTCTTTGCAGATTGAGGAAAGCTGAACACAGATGATAAATTTTAAAAATACTAAAATTTCCTAGATAGGGAAATCTAAGAGGCACATGCAGCTCAGAGAAGCCAGGGTGGCTAGATTGGAAAAATCAAAAAAGCTTTAAGGAGATGATAATGGTCTCTGACTTGGGTGTTGGAGGACGAATAAGCTCTAATAGGTGGAGTTTGATTAGGGGCAGAATAAACCAATGGGCTGAACAGGGAATATCTAGATGAAGGTCAGGGAACAGGAAAAAGTATAGTTTATTTGAAATGTATAGTTATGTATCAGGAAGAGAAGGAAATCCATATGGGTGGATTGGAGCAAATCACAGGCAGGATATAACATGGCTGGATCTGTTCTTCAAGAAGGACAGTCAAGTAACACAGTCACTATATTGTAGCATCAAGAGAGTGCCTTAGGTGTGGGATGAGAGAGGCTCCTATGGGTGAGTGGGTGTGAAAGAGACTGTGAGGCTGGAAAGAGTCTGTAATAGATACATTGGAAGCAAAATCCATGATCCTTACTGGATTAATTCATTAGACTTAAAGCAAAATGCAGTCAGTGATACTTGCAAGAATCCGAGTTTCATAATTGAGAGCGCATGAATTTAAATAACAGGAAAGTTAAAAGAACATCTATTTGAGGAGTGGAGAAGATTGAGAAAGGGAAGTTGATGACCTCCATTAGTGACACAGTAAATTTGAAATACCATTGTAGGGATTCTTACCAGGACAAAAACGTTTGTCTGGGGCTCAGAGAAGAGTAAATAGTGTTAGAGGAAGATGCATAGGCGTCTTTAGTACAGAGGAATGGTCTAAAGTCACCCATAGCCTTTGAAAGTATCAGAGGAAAACTATACAAAGAGGAGGAGAGGGACGATCATTCAACTTTGGGGACATACCTGTTTGGGGAATTAGAGGAGGAAGTGGAGCTAGAGAGGACAGTGAGGTCCACAGAGTTGAAGCTGGAGGGGAGGAGGAGACAGAGGAGTGTGATTTTAATTAGGTTTAGGGTGAAGAGGGATTAATGTTGGGGCTTGGGACCAGCTCTTTGGTGACATTTGAAAGTGCAGTTTTAGCAACTAAAGTGGAAACCAGATTACAGGGGATTAAGCTTGTATTGGATGGTGAGGACAAAGGCCAGGAGAAGAGCCGGATGGTTCAAGAATTTTGATCATGACAGGCTGGGGAGAAGTAGGGCAAATGCTTACCTAGTTCATGACACCAAGGGCAGGTGCTTTCAAGGTAGCAGTGATTTGGGTGTGCTCAGGGACAGAGAGGTACCTCACAATAAATATTTTGATGTAAAAAAGGACAGATGCAAATGTTTAGGTGAGAGGGAGAGACATCCAGAATAGAACTTTCTGTGGAGCAGGAAGGAAACTCTGTCTCCAAAGGCTTTTTCTGAATTAGGAGAGCAATTTGCATTCACCTTGGCAAATTTGTTTTAAAATGGCTGGCTTGTTCATGGAATATTCTCCATTTTTCTCTCATGCTCTTTCAAGTCTTTATTGAGAGGGAGAGAGAGAGAGAGAGAGATTCTGAGGTTGTGAAATGTCTGGTTAAGTCCAGCACTTCTGGCTGTCCTCTCTAGCCGAGCAGAGCCCATGCTGCACTGCCAGTTGACACTTGGGGACAACTTATTTATGAGCTGGTGTCTGATTCTTAGACACTTCACAGCAGAGAGCATTCTGTAGGAAACTGAGGTCAATTAATGGCATGGTTACCCTACC